GAGCCTTTATGTATACGTGGCTATTACACATGCCACGAAAACAAGAGTGTTTCCATTAGCTAGTTGAAAGGATTCCTTCCTTGTCAAAATTAAGTTCTCTATCTTCTCAGAGGTGACCTCATCAGCAAAGTGAAGTATAACTTATCAGGTGCTCTGCTCTTAGCCAAATGAGGGAGATGTACAGCAGACCCCTTGCTCATCATCGATTCCCAACCCTGCTCTACCTAACCTCTGAGAGAGTTCTGAGATGTGCTTTGGGAAAACACCATCCACACACGAGCTGACTAGGAACTATAAGAAGGAAATGTCAGGATGTACCATAGGTCAGAACTTTTCATTCTGTCCAAAAGGATAGGATGAACATGGGTGTTCAAAAAATGTACAGCCCAAAACTTTACTGCCCCCAAAGCTGTTTCAAATGTTATCCTATATCATCATAACTTGGGACATGTCTGTGCTTTCTCCATAACTTCCCAGAGGCTCATTCAATAAATGTGTGGGCATCGATTTTGCGCTGAGTCCATGCTAGCTCTTATGCGAGGGAAAGATAAGCTTAGACCTTTTACATCTAACCCAAATTCCAGGCAATCAGAGCCAAATCTTCCAACAAGACACTGTACTGACCTTACTTCCAACCCTTGGAGCCAGACCCTCTGGATTTGACTCCTGGATCCATCACTTTAGCAAGTTACTGAGACCCTCTGAGTGTCTTAGTTTCCTCATGTATAAAATGGGAATAATGATAAAGCCTACCTCAAGGTTATGAGGACTAACCCTAGATAATACATGTAATGTAAGTTAGCATAGTACCTGACAGATAGTAAGTACTCAAGCACTGTTGGTTATTCCTATTATTTTCTGTGTGTCATACTTCGTTTCAAGATTAATAATCAGGGGTGCCTGGCTGGCTCAGTCAGTAGAGTGTGTGACTGTTGATCTGGAGGTTGTGAATTCAAGCCCCACATTGGATGTGGAGCCTACTTTTAAAAAAATGAATAATCATACTTCTGGCTGGTAAAAAGATGCCAATGCCATGTAGAAGATTTCATGATACATTGCAACTTGAGTTTAAAAGCAAGTTACAGTATCTCCTCTTTTTCTCTCTTTCTCCTTTCAAAGGATGAGGGTATATACAGATGGCAAAGATTATTTCTTTCTTTTATTTATTTATTATTCATTGTTGAGAAAAAGAGAGAGTGTAAGCAGTGGAAGGGCAGAGAGAGAGGGGAGTTTCAAGCAGGTTCCACGCTGTCGACACAGAACCCAATGTGGGGCTCGAACTCATGAAACTGTGGGATCATGACCTGACCATGACCTCTCAAAATCAGGAGTCCAATACTTAACTGATGAGCCACCCAGGCACCCTGGCAAAGATTATTTTTGAATGGTTTTTATTTTCTCCTTTATTTTATAATTTTTAAAACATGGGCACATAAGGGAAAAAATGTTATTTAAAAATATTAAACATCAATGCAAAAGACTTTAAGAATCTTGTTTATCAGTCTTTTCTAGGCTAGAATCTAGGCTTCACGATGGGAAAGGCAGTGGCGTCTCAGAGCCCAGTTCTGTTTCAGGCTGGCCCAAAGCCAAAGAAAGAACTGGGTCGAGCTCAATTTCCATTCTGAGCCCTTCTTTCAGTTCCTCCTGCTTCCCTTTTCAGATGCCCATCTAGGGGGCCATTTCCTTCCTTCAATTAACATGTGTTGAGAGCCCACAGGAACCCAGCACTGTACAAGGTGCTAAAGATAAGACTCTGCCTTTGGTGGCCTGTGGTCTCATCCTGTCCCTGCCGACCATCACTTGTGATGGCCTGTAGCCCAAGGAGCAGCCCTCCCTCCAATCTTAGCTTTTCCCTATGCCTGGGACCCACTCTTGGGACCCACTCCTGCCGAGCTCCTGCCTCTGTTCCACTTTGCTACAGATGACATAATCCCTATGCATCAGTCCCGATGTGTGTGCATCATTCGAGTCCTGGCAGAAAACAGCAGTGCACTCAAAAGGGCTTAAACAATAATTGAACAAAGGGACTACTCGCAGAGCTGTGGCCAAGGTTCAGGGAACCAACCAGGACTAGGAACAGAAGGAAGCCATGACTACCCACAGGCCTGGAGGGGAAATAGTATTATTGGAAATTATTGAAGATACTGTGATTATCTGTAATTACAGAGCAACACAGACATTGCTAGTCCCTGGCATTGAGGCAGGAAGAGATTGAGGAACAAATGCCCTGCTCTGTCATCTCCTGCCAGTGCCCATGTGGCTGAATCCACAAGCCAGACGGCAAGGATGCCCAAGTGATACAGTCCACCTGGCAATGTGTTACTCTCTGTAGTAACGGTTTCGTGGTAGATTCAAGTAAAGAGTGGCATCAATTTCTGATCTGCCCAAGGGGGAGAGGTTTACCTTCTGGTAAACCGAGGGGGGAGAGGTTTTTAAGTCAGATCTCCTCAGACCAGTCTAAGTAATTAATCCTCCAAATCCCTGCTCCTGTGAGTACTGGGAAAATGCTCAGCAAAAGGCTAAATTAATGCAGTGAAGCGTCATAGTTTTGTTTTTTTCGTTCATATTTTATTCTGACAATATTGGCAGTAGATCTGAAGGGTGAGGAGTACTTTGTTGATTTGAGTACCTAGACTGTCTCTAGCATGCCTTTGTTTTTAATGTTCATCGTACACAGAGACAGAAGCACACAAAGATGCCGGCAGATAAGTCAAGCATGGCCATCAACACATGCACACCATTCTAAAGAGGTCTCTTCCTCACACGTCACCTGTGGTGATTTTCAGAAGCAGTCCCCACCCCTGGTCCATTTGCTGGAGGCAGAAGGTGGGGGACCAGAGGAAAGGAAAACTGGAAAGGAAAAATGGCGGGGCTCCTGGCTTCAGCTGGGTGAGAGAGAGGATGAGGGAGGCGACGGGGACCAGCTTTCCTCCTCTTGAAGTCCCTAGCTTCTTCCTCCCTTACATCCATAAGCAGCGTAGCTTGGTCCTGGTTCACTAGTTCAAATTCTTTCCCCGAAGTGCTTCCTTTGCTGTGAGCACATTAATTCCCTTACTTTGGAAGGAAACTTCCTTACCAGCTCAGTAACGACAGTGACTCCTTCCATTTGTGTACCTTTTAGAGTTTGAAGAGTACTTGCACGCACATTATCTCATTTATTCCTCACACCCCTTGTCAGGTCACAGAGCTTACCTTCTATCAGTTAAGGAACTGAGTCTCAGGAAACAAGTTGCCTAAAGGCACCACCCAGACAGCGTCAGAGTGAAGGTCAGAGCCCTGTTTTTCTGTCTCCCCGCCACATTTTTTTCTCCCCACAATGATGAAGGTTTCTTCAGGAAAGAAGATGGCAAAGGACTTAAAGGTGGACATAGTTAAAAAGGAGGAAACCATATATATTGAGAATAAGATGAGCCAGGGCAGTGGCTCTTAAAGTGTTGTCTCCAGATCAGGGACATCAGGGGCATCCGGGAGCTTCTTAGAGGTGCAAATTCTTGAGCCTCAGCCCAGACGTACTGAATCAGAAACATCAGAAGAAAAGGGAGTTTCAGGAACCTAGGTTTGAAGAAGCCCTCCAAGAGATACTGATGCATGCCACAGTTTGGGAACCACTGCATCCAGGGGAAAGGTGTGTGTGATGGCACCCTGAAGAGAACACATGACTGGTGTTAGCATAAGGAGGAGCAGGAAGGTAGTCAGTTATTTCTGTGGATTCCAGAGATGGTGTTGATGGCTGGATGAAGACTATTCAAGGCCATTGAAGCATTGCCTATAATAGCAGAAAACTAGAAACAATTCAAATATCTACCAATTGAGGATGGTCATGTGAATTACAGTGCATCCATGTAATGGATGCTATGTAGTACAAAACAGAACAAGAGGCTTGGGATAATTAGATATGGAAAAAAATCCAAAGAATAGTTAAATAAAGAAAAAAAGAAAAAGTAGGAGAGTTTATATGTTAACTTTGGGTTTTAAAAAGGGGAGAACTGGGGCGCCTGGGTGGCTCAGTCGGTTAAGTGGCCAACTTCAGCTCAGGTCACGATCTCGCGGTCTGTGAGTTTGAGCCCCGCGTCGGGCTCTGTGCTGACAGCTCAGAGCCTGGAGCCTGTTTCAGATTCTGTGTCTCCCTCTCTCTGACCCTCCCCCGTTCATGCTCTGTCTCTCTCTATCTCAAAAATAAATAAACGTTAAAAAAAATTTTTTTTAATAGAAAAAATAAAAAAGGGAGAACTAAGGACATATATTTGTATTTACTTGTACCTACAAGAAACCTTGCAAAGAAACAAGAAATCATTCAGAGAGATACCTGGGGATGGGAGAAATGTGGTAGAGGCAGAGATGGGAGGGAAACTTTTCACTGCATTTCCGTTTCTAAAATTGTCCAACCCCGTAAATGCATTACCTATTTAGAAAACATAAAAATAAATAAAAATGGCCCTAGGTGTAATCCAGCAGCAGAACAAGAAGCTGCCTCTGATGGAATAAGGATGGTGGACTTTCCAAGGGCAAATCCATCCTCTTTCCACAGAATGGGCCAACAGAAGCCAAGGGTACCAAGCTCTGCCCACACCCACTTCCTCTCCCCTCTAGCTCAAACCCTCCCGGAATGGCCATCGTGCTTTGGAGGGGGATAGACTTCTTAGTAAGGCCAGGACCAGCAGTTATCAGCATTAGCTACACATTAAAATCATCTGGGAAGCTTTTAAGAATACTAATTGCCAGGCCCCATTCCCAGAGCACCCAAATCCAAAATTCTGAGGTGGGGCCTGGGCATTGGTGTTTTTAAAGCTCCTCAGTTATGATTCTAAACTACTGTCTTGGACCTTCTGGGTCAGTTCATTTCTCTAGAAAGCTGGAGAGAGGGAAAGAACATATCCAATAGCTTAAAAGAAGAAATCATACGTCCCATCGAACCTGTCAGGATCACATCTGAATGCAAGAAATTTTTTTATCTGCTTTGATTGGAATATGTGCTCAACCCATTTCTCCCCTCTTGGCAGTCCAATTCTGAAACGAAGTCCCGATATCACCAAGTCGCCACTGACAAAATCAGAGCAGCTTCTGAGGATAGACGACCATGATTTCAGCATGAGGCCTGGCTTTGGAGGTATGAGCCACAACTCGCCATGGTTGTCTTCTCTTTTCGGGTCTGTTCACCTATGCCTGGGTATAAATCAAAGCAAGGGACCACCCAGCTTTGCTCTCCCCTGGTCAGGTCCATCTCTGTCGTGCTTGGTGGCCAAGATGGAACCCACAGTGTCTTCTGAGCATCACCCCTGCCCAGCCCCACCGTGGGCCCTGCTAAACACATTCTCAGAAGGTGCCTGTTGGCCGACGGCGAGGGTAGGCTAGCTGAGCAGTCCTCAGGCCACTACTCCTGATAAGGAAGGCTTGGGATCAGTGAGGCCAGCAGCTGGCTGCGGGAAGGACAAGGGGAAGATGGGGCTGCTACATCCCAAAGCTGCCTCCTGAAAATACTCTGAAACCACAACCTTGGACTAAATCCATTCTCATCCGGGAGCTGGCAGATGGAACGAGGGGTGTGTATCTGAGGGCACAGTGTGGTCTGCTGGATTTAATTAAATGAAAATAGCTTGAGAAAATAATGATCTAGAGCAGAGGGATGTCATGGCACTTTGAAGCTTAGCCTGCAGCTGCCAGATTTCAGCCTGCTCAGTGTCAAATAGGGTTTTCATCTACATGGGTTTCTTCCTGCAATAAAAAATTTATTTTAGAAAGCGTCCCCATGTTTTTATTTCTTCTAGCCACCTCGACCCGAAGAATAAACAGATTCTAGAAGGGAGTCTTCATTTAATCTGTAACCTGCTCCTGTTAGATCCAAACCTACCTCAATCCATGATAATCTGAGTCTGCCCCATGCCTGCCCCCCCGTGCCTGAAAGCAGGGAGGAAAAGGCGCAGCAGTCTACTTCTCCTTCTCTTTACGGATAGGAAGACTGCATGGCTTAGAAATGCCAAAGGCCACCCTATTGCATCATGTTGCCCTTGGAAGCTACCCCATCCTGTGGCAAAGGTACAGATGTGTGGGCTTGGCCAATGACCTGAATGTGGCTTTGGTTCTGGGTGCCTATTAACCAGGTAGAGCCTTTCTCATGGCCAGAGACACTGGCTTCCGTGACACAAGAGGCCGCAAAATCAGGAGGCAAATATAAAAAATAAAGTGGATAACCCCATGCTAAGGAGTAACTCCTTAGATTAGACTCAGCTTTGAGCTAGGTCTTCATTGTATCTTTAGGTAAGTATGTGCAATCAAAGAAGAAAGCTTTATATTAACCTCATCATCTCAGAATCACCTGAATGATTCAGATAAAGAAAACTTTAAAAAAAAATATTTACTTATTTTTGAGAGAGAGAGAGAGAAAGAGAGCACAAGTGGGGGCGGGGGAGAGAATGAGGGAGAGGGAGAGAGACTCCCAAGCAGGCTCTGCACTGTCAGCGTAGAGCCCAATATGGGGTTCAAACTCACAAACCACAAGATCATGACTCTAGCTGAAGTTAGACGCTTAACCAACTGAGCCACCCATATGCCCCAAAACTTCTTTTTTTTTTTAAACCTTTGTTGGAATATTCCAGGGAGGCAGCCTATGATCCAACCCTTTGATTTCTGGCTTCATTTGAGCTTGAAATGTGGGGACACCAAACCTTCAAGTCTGACAGGAAACTGAGGAAACTGGGGCTCCAGGGGGGGAAATGCTCCTATGCCTGTCTTTTCTATAGTGAAAATTCAAATAGAAAGAATAAATGCTCTTGCCATGCCCCATTTGCAGGTCCAGCCATTCCTGTGGGTGTGGATGTGCAGGTGGAGAGCTTGGACAGCATCTCAGAGGTCGACATGGTAAAGTGCTTCTTTTTCTAGGGCTGTAGCAGGTGGATTCACACAGGGCCTATGCTGGGCCAGGAGGTCCACACACCCGAATTCACTGGGTCTCACAACTCTCTGGCTACGGGAATGCCCACACTCATTTTATAGGTGGCTCAGGAAGGTTAAGACACTTGCCAAAAACCACCCAATTGGAACGAAGCAGAGCCAGATGACAAAGCCGATCTCCCTCCCGTGCCTTTTGCCATCGGGATGGTTCTCTGGGCAAAGGCTCTCAAACATAAACCGTAGGTCCACGGTTGAAGCTGCCAGATATCCCACAACTGTAGATCCTATATCTGGCTGCGGAAATGCAGATGAATTGCTGAAAAGTGTCCCTTTTTTCCTTTTTAATGAGTTTAGGTGGAAAAATAGAATGTTCTACAACTCCTCGACTTAGAGGACTTTTTACAGCCTTAGCTTAGTTTGGGTTCTCCAAAAAGCAGACTTGAGAGAAGCATTCTAGCACAAGTTGAGAAGTGATCCCAGGAAAATCGAGAAGAGAGTGGGGGGAGGTGAGATGAGGGTGGGGAGGAAGCACATAGACCTGAGCCTCAAGCCAGTTACTACTAGGAATCTCAGTCCCACTGGGGGTACTCCAGGAGTCAACAGAGAACACGCCTCACGGTTATCCCAGCTGAGGGGCCAAGGAGCTGGGGTGCTTAGCTGGTCCCGCCCAGCCCCCCACTCGCCCCAGTATGTTGAGGGTCACAAGCGCTGACAGTAGCACCTTGTCAGTGTGGAGGCACTTGGCAGGGGATGGGGTGGGTCTCAGGGACACGGGTTCTGCTAGCGGTCTCTTGCTGTGTCCCTCCCCTGCAGTCCCCCTCCTACTGTAGCAAACCCCAGGGACTGGAAGCAAGACCTCTACTCTGCTGTTGCATTCTCAGCCACTGACGGCTCCATGGGGTGCACAGTGTCCTGCTGACACCCAGTGGGTTCAGTGTGTGGGGTTCTCCTCTCTGTCCTTCCCCTCCAGGACTTCACGATGACCCTCTACCTGAGGCACTACTGGAAGGACGAAAGGCTGTCCTTCCCGAGCACCAACAACCTCAGCATGACGTTTGACGGCCGTCTGGTGAAGAAGATCTGGGTCCCCGACATGTTTTTCGTGCACTCCAAGCGTTCCTTCATCCACGACACCACCACGGACAATGTCATGTTGCGGGTCCAGCCCGATGGAAAAGTGCTCTACAGTCTCCGGTAAGGCCCTCCCAGCCCTCAGGCTGTGCCTCTTCCTGTAGGTCCTTTTACATCTGAAGCCTGGGCAGAAAGGCAAATCATTTGACCACTCACACCTGCAGTTTTGCTTTTTTGGCTTTGAATAGCTAGCTGCTGCTTCTTTTTTTAGAAAATGTTTTTTTCTATTTATTTTGAGAGAGAGAGAGAGAGCACACAAGCAGGGCAGGGGCAGAGAGAGAGAGAATCCCAAGCAGGCTCCGCGTTGTCAGGGCAGAGCCCGATGCGAGGCTTGAACCCATGAACCGTGAGATCATGACCTGAGCCCAAATCAAGAGTCAGATGCTTAACCGAATGAGCCACCCAGGTGCCCCTCATTAATATTATTCCTGATACATTGCATACAAATATCGAATATTGATAAAATCAACAAATGAACAGAAAAAATGGAATTTATCAACAAGAGAACAATATATGCTCCTATGATTTCCTTTAGGAAACAATATCACATGAATTTTTATTTCACAGGTTTATATTGATAGAGGTCATTGCTTTGTTAATATGCTTCAATGTGATAGAATTTACAGAGATAGACACCCTGTTGGCCTCACCCTGACGCTGGAGTTAAACATAAAAACCGGAGTACTCCAATGACTTTATTATACGCAGGCTACTTACCTAAGTCTTGACACCTTGCTTATCAATTATAAGGAGGCAGTTACATGGGAAGGAAACAGAGGCCTTTTCTGTTTGATCATTTTGCACTTGTATTTTGCAGCCTCTGAAAATTTGGATTCTGTCTTTTGGCTTGCAGGGTAACAGTGACTGCAATGTGCAACATGGACTTCAGCCGATTTCCCCTGGACACGCAAACGTGCTCACTTGAAATTGAAAGTTGTGAGTAGACTGTCCTGGACATTGGCACACAAACCGCGAGTAATCGCAAACACCGAGAACTGTCAGTAGCACGAACAGCATGTGCTCCTCCTTCCTGGCTGTGCTTTTCAAGTGATTTTTCAATTATTTATGTATCTTTTTAAAAGTTTGTTTATTGTACGTGTGTGTGTGTGTTTGTGTGTGAGAGAGAGAGAGAGAGAGAGGAAATGTGACTGGGGGAGGGGCAGAGAGAGAAGGAGAGAGAATCCCAAGCAGGCTCCTCACTGTCAGTGCAGAGCCCGACTTGGGGCTTAATCTCACGAATTGTGAGATCAGGACCTGAGCCAAAATCGAGAGTCGGGTGCCCAACTGACTGAGCCACCCACATGCCCCTCAAATGACTTTTTAAGATATTAAACCTAAGTCCAGAGTTGTTTTGAAAATCAGGCATAAGTTTGAAACTAAAACCTTCTGTTCCCATAACGGTTTTAAACTTGGTTCTGTGGAACCAGAGCTGGGGAGGGTGGTAGAGGGCTCAGCAAATGCGGATCTCCTTCTGTAGCTGTTTCTACACACCGTCCATCCATAGAGCTCATTTCTGACCTGTTTAATTGTTCCTCTGAATGAGATTTCTGTGGAAGAAAAGATTTCTTGACAAAAACAAGTTTGGCAACAATCGCCGGAGGGAACTGCCCAGGCGAGCACACGTCCTGCTTGAGACTCTCAGGCACAACTGAGGGGCATCGGGACACTTGCACACAAAGTCCTGGACAGATTCAAAGCCAGGCCCCAGGAAGGGCAAGGCTGAGGCAGCATCAAGGACTAACCGCTTGCATCTCCAGCTCTCTACACGACTGCTCTGTTTTTCAGTCTTTGCCCAAACGCTTCCTCTGGTGGGTGCAGTCTGGACTCCCCCATAACTCCAGCTGGTCCGCTCCAACTGAGCACATGCCCACTGGCCCTTCCTGGCTGGTGGCCAAGCCCTAGTGAGGAATCTCTTTGGCCCAGGACACCTTTGTAAGCCTACCTGCACTGTGGCAATGGTTCAGGGGTGCCCTGGCTCCAGTCATCTGGGGCTGAGGAGGGCAGGGATGTTGACCCCCCACATAGCAGGGGCCAGATAGCTCCATAGGGCACTGAATGTGGGAAAAGGGAATAATAAATCCTAGGACCAAGGAAATCACTACCCACTGCACAGTGATTTGCCACCTGCTGTCATGTAATCCTCACCAGATCCTGTGAGAAGGTTACTATTATCTCTGTTACGGGTAGGAGGGGTGTAACTTGCCTGAGGACATAGTGCTAAAACGGACTAAACTCACTGACTCCAGAACCTTGTTTTCCCTACCACACCCAGGCGGCTCCGTCAGGAATGTAGCTTTTTCCAGGTTGCATCAGTCAGGGTACCACAGAGAAGCAGAATATCAGAGATACATAGTAAGAGATATTTAGTGTCAAGGAATTGGCTTACATGAGCCTGGGGGTTAGCTTGGCAAGTCTGACACGTGCAGGACAGGCTGTCAGGAAGGGTGGCTGGGAACCCTCGGGTGGGACCTGATCCTGCCCGTGGAGGCAGGAAGGGCAGAATTTCTTCTTCTTGGGGAAACCTCAGGTCTGATCTTAAGGCTTTTCTGTTGATTGGATCAGGCCAACTCAGATTATCCTGGATCATCTCCTTTACTTAAAGTGAACTGGTGGTAGGTGTCACACCCACAAAGCATCTTCCGAGCAACACCTAGATTTGTGTTTGATTGAATAACGGTACTGTAGCCTAACCAAGTGGAGGGGATACATGACACCAACTATCACGCAGGTCAAGGGTAAGAAATAGAAGAAAATAGAGGAATGAAATAGGGCGTCAGGGAGCTCCGGCAAGAACTGTCTAACACATGAGCAGACTGGACCGGCAACTGTGAGGTTTTACCTCAGCTCTGTCCAGGCCGCAGGTAGGTTTGTTCAACCGGAGTAAGATGTGGGCTCACCTAAAGTGGGATCACCAGAGGGAGTGATCCTTATGGAGAATCACTTGGATTTTTCCCTGGGTAGGAAGAGCAAGAGGAGGCCTGCAGAAAAGGGACTTGTGTCCTGCTGCCATCACTTTGTGGCTCCTTTCCTGCTAGAATGCACCCCTTGTTACCTGAGAGTATTGCAATAGGTTCGCCATCAATGGATGCATTCCTACACTTTGAAAGGAGAAAAGAAAGGGCTAAATTAGCCTGGGCTTGTAAGGCTGAACCGTATGCGATACTGCAGCCATTTATCCATTTCTGATCTACAAGCATAGCAACTTCATTTTTTCTTTTAATATTCGTCTGAGAGACAGAGAGAGAGAGAGGAGGGGAGCCGAAGTCTGATGCTTACCCGCCTGAGCCATCCAGGCGCCCCACAACTTCATTTGTTTTAACCTAATAAATGGCAGGCTGAATTGTGAAGTGAGCACTTTTGCAGGCATTATGAGCATTTAGGCTTGACAGCTTTGTTCTGATGACTTCTGGAAGACTGGGGAGAATTAATGTGGATTTTGTTTTGCTTTGTTTAGACTGTGGTTTGTGTATTCAGACTCTCTTACTACAATCCCAGTCGTCCGTGTGGGAGGTCTGGAGCTGCTTCCACGGAGCCCCACAGGCAGGCCTGTCCTCCCACGGCCGCCAGCCGTGCCTGATGCTGTCTCCCATCCTTTCAGATGCCTATACAGAGGATGACCTCATGCTGTACTGGAAAAAAGGCAACGACTCCTTGAAGACAGATGAGCGGATCTCACTCTCACAGTTCCTCATCCAAGAATTCCACACCACCACTAAGCTGGCCTTCTATAGCAGCACAGGTAGGGGTGGGGGTGGGGGGCAGGGAGTGGGGGCTTGGTTGTCAAGCGAGCAGAGCTTGTGTGCTTGGATTTGAAGCCAAAGGTGGAAATCCCTAAATCAGGATGGCAAACACCGGGGAAGGTGATTTTCAGATACCACCAAAGCATTGGAAGTGATAACCTAGGAAATATTAGTAAAGACTCAAACAGAAGCTATGGGAGGAGGTTTGTTTGAGCCAATTACTTTGCCAGTTTAGCAGCTGGCATCTCACCCCTGATAGGACCTCCAGGGCCCCTTCCTTTATAGACAACAAACAGTTCAATTTTAGGTCTGTTGATTTCCATTCTCTCTGCTCCATTCAACCAATTCTCTCTCTCTCTCTTTTTTTCCGCCCCATCCCCACCCCCCAGACAGTCCTCTCTTAACCATACTGCTTGCATAGGTCCTCCTTAAGATCTTGTGAGCCTCAGTGCTCAGGTCGGGGTGGCCTCACCCCCTCTGGTTGCCTGAGGGCTTGCTCTGTGGTCTTCCTCTGGGCAGCTGAGGGGAACAGCTTTCTCCAAACTTTGTCTCTGTCTTGACTAATCATCTTTCAGGATGATCTTGTTCAAATCTTTATGAAGCTTCTATTGCCAAAAACATCGCATGACTGCACAAAGAAGTGCAACCTTTTAAGTCTTTATAATCTGCAACAGAGGCACTGTTTTATTTCCAACACATGGCAATGCAGCACATCTCATCTTCTGTATACATCACTCAGGAGTCTTGATTTTTCAGGGGATCTCCACTTCACCTTAGCATTCTAACATTTCCTCTTGTCTTAGTCTGCTCGGGCTGCTATAACAAAATTCCATAGACTGGGTGGCTTCTAAACAACAGAGATTTACTTCTCACAGTTCTAGAGGCTGGGAAGTCCAAGATCAAGATGCTGGCGGATTCAGTGTCTGATGTCTATAAACTTCCTAGTTTATAGACAGCCACCTTCTCCCTGTGTCCTCATATGGGGGAAGGCACAAGGGAATGATCTGGGCTCTCTTTTATAAGGGCACTAATCCCACTAATGATGTAATCACCTCCAAAGGCCCCACCTCCAAATACCATCACACAGAGGATTAGGTTTCAACATACAAATCTGGCGGGGACCCATTCAGTCCATCGCACCTCTACACTCGCTTTCTGGGACTGTTTTACAATGATCACTATTGCATTATAATTGTCTAGGACACCAAGTTTTCAAGTTAATGTCGCCAAGTCTCCATTTTATTTTCAGTCCTCGTCGTCTCCCATTTATCCTGCCTTCCCCTTTTCCTTCCTCTTTCTCCTGTTCGTTAGAACTCCTCCATTCATATTTTTTCCTTGTAGAGAACACGAGGGGAGAGCTAAAGCACAGCTGAGCCGGCGACCTTTCACTGTTCTGAAATGTAATGTTATGGTTAGCTGGGTATTTTAACTTTGAAACATTTTCCTCTATAAAGAAATCCAAAGGAGCTTGTTTAAATAAATGTTTCCCAAGCTTTATTGTGCGTATAAATCATGTGGGGAGTATTGTTGAAAAGAGATTCTGATTCAATAGATCTGGTGTGGGGCTGAGAGTCTGCATTTCCAAGTAATCAAGTGACAGTGACTTTGCTGGGCTCTGTCCCAAAGGATGAGTAATAAGCCTTAAATGGCCGTCTCAAGGGGCTCCACTTATGTAGAAGACAGGGGCCAAGGATTTCTTGAGAGGGACTCACCCATGTGGTTCAGGTTATCATATAATCACTCTATTCCCTGTTTTTTTTCTCCCTCCCAATTTATAAAGGTATGGCAAGGTTCCAGGGAAGTGTCTAAGGCGTTTACGATTCCCCAGATAAAATGTGTTGTGTGAAGTTGCTGAGTGGCTATGGCGTGTGCTATCTTTTCCTCCTGTGTCCCCCAGGCTGGTACAACCGTCTGTACATTAACTTCACTTTGCGACGCCACATCTTCTTCTTCTTGCTCCAAACTTACTTTCCTGCCACCCTGATGGTCATGCTGTCCTGGGTGTCCTTCTGGATCGACCGCAGAGCTGTGCCCGCCAGAGTCCCTTTAGGTAAGGAACATCTCAAGTGCACGTTCCAGGCATCTGAAAATACAAGCCATTTCTTCCAGATAAAAACAATTCATTTCAAATTGATTGTAAACCCCTGTTAGCATTGTAACTTGGAAAAACCGGGTTATTGATTCACAAGTAAAATGCCATTCTTAAGAACCTATGTGGCAAAAGAACTGTTTCCAGGTCCCCACAAGTGCTAATGTAAATAACCCACCTTCAGTCTTCTTAGAACCATGTTCTGGGGTCAGTGGTCCCGGTGTGTGGGTGCTTTCTCTGCTCACCTGCATAAGAAATCATGTTCTCTAACAGGGCTTCTCAAAAGGTGGCCCAAGGGAATCTTTGCAACAGAATCCCTGGGGGGATCTGTTAACAGTGAAGAATCCTGGGGCACCTGGGTGACTCAGTCTGTTAAATGTCCGACTTCGGCTCGGGTCATGACCTCACAGTTGGTGGGTTTGAGTCCCCGCGTTATCGGTTATCGTCATCGTAGGGCTCTGTGCTGACAGCTCAGAGCCTGGAGCCTGCTTCGGTTTCTGTGTCTCCCTTTCTCTCTGCCCCTCCTCCACTTGCACTCGCTCTCTCTCTCTCTCAAAAATAAATAAACATTTAAAAAAATTTTTAAAAACAAAACAAACAATGAAGAATCCTGGGTCCCTTCCACATGTATAGCATCAGAATCTCTGAGAAAGGACTAGGAACCTACATTTTGAACAGTCTCCTGATAATTCTTATACATACTCAGGTCTGAAAATCCCTATTGTGTAAGCATTTCATGGATAGGTACTTGCTATCAACTCTCTTCCCCACTTTCAAATATTTCACCCACTCAGTCACACACACCCCCATTGTTCAGATGATTCAGAGGCTTCAAGGGAGAGGGTGACCCCTCCCCTCAGATTTTAGTGACACTGAATTGGAGTTGGCCCTTAAGGTGACCCCAGTCCCCTGTGATTTGGTGTTTGCCAAGCAAACATTCTGAGCTTAATTTGAAATCCCAGGCAAATACCATTGACTAATGCCCTGTCCTTTAACAGTTGTTCTATCACTTGAATAGTTACTGTGCTAAATAAACAAACATTCTAGTTTTCAAAATCTAATCCCCATTAAATGAGGTTAACATCATTCTTGGCAAAATTGACCTCTGAGTCCTCAGGTCAACATTGCTGAACGGGCAGCCGGGTCCAGCACGGGGGTAGGTGCCATAATTGCCCTGATGGCTGATTATACAGGCCCAGGACTGCAAGACCAGCAACAAGGACACAAATACTAAAATATACCTTGTGCTCTTGTTTCCCTTTTGGAGAAAGAGTTACAAGAAACACATATATACCCGCTCATATATATAAACTCTGTTTTAAACAATTGAATGGAAATTCACATCTTGCTGCCCAAATGTCTGGGGCAGAAGGACAAAGTGATACGTTTGCTCTAATGAATATGTTCGTATATGGAGTGAGGAAAGGGTGAGCAGGGGGCAGTGGAGGAGTAAGAGAAGCTTCATAAAAGCTACATCTTGAAAGATGAGTAGGGGGCAGGGACAGAGAGGCAGGGATGGAGATATTCTAGGCCCAAGGAGCAGAAAGGACAAAGAACAGAGGCGTGAAGCCACCCAGTGTGTTTGGTGAAAGACAAACACGGGCTTTTTTTCTCGCTCTGTGTGCAGGTATCACCACCGTGCTGACCATGTCCACCATCATCACGGGCGTGAACGCCTCCATGCCCCGCGTGTCCTACATCAAGGCGGTGGACATCTACCTCTGGGTCAGCTTTGTGTTCGTGTTCCTCTCGGTGTTGGAGTATGCAGCTGTCAACTACCTGACCACGGTGCAGGAGCGGAAGGAGCGGAAGCTCCGGGAGAAGGTGACCTTACCATAAGTAAAGAAAGTGCTCAGGGATAGAGTCTGGTCCGGCTATGGACTGTGAGAAGGTCAGACCTTCTCTGTAGAAGTGGGTAGTGACATCCCATCCTCAACCTTCTCCACCGATTGGTGTGGAGATCAAACAAAATAATATGTTAACGCAGTGCTAATTTTACCCTGGGCTACATATTTCAGTCACTCAAAAATTTATTTAGCACCTACCATACGCCAGGAGCTAAGCCAAGTTAACTAAGACATAGGCCCTTTAATCTTGGTGGTGTTCAGTGTTTAGTGCTAAAAATCGATGACAATTCAACACTGTGAAACAATTATTTGTGAACACAGAGGTGTGATAAAAAACCTTCCAGGGAGGTACATCCTCCATTCTGGGAACTTTCCTTTCATATGTGATCTTGTGCATCTCCCGTCATTTTCCCGATCATCTTCCCTCTCGCCTGGCTTTCCTTTCTTCCCCCTGTCTGCGGTCCCATGGTTATCTCCTCCAGAAAACCAGAACTAAATAAGAGTGAAGTTTCTCCACAATGCTACACCTTTCAATCCCCACCTCATCACATCACACACACATAACATTACCAGAAAACATTTTATCAGGGCTTACATCCGTTTATGATCTCATGGAGAACAGGGCAATTATCTGATCATGAACATTCTCATCGGTCTCTGATGCAACGTGATGTTTCCTAAGAGTTGCTTTGTAGACTTCAAACAAAAACGGATACCTGCTCTTTTAGAACTACAGTGTCACCACCATTATTTTCCCACGCCCTGCCCCTAACTGGGAATAAAAGAAACTAGAAACGGCAACCCCGTCCACTATTGCAGTTTCTTGTGAAGGGCTTCCGAGAGATGAAGCTGAGCTGGCATCCCAGTGTGTGTTTGCTGTGTTCGCAGCTTCCCTGCACCTGTGGAATACCCCAGCCACGTGGGGTCATGCTGGATGGCAGCTACAGTGACGGGGAGGTTAACGACCTGGGCAACTACACGCCGGAGAATGGAGAGAAGCCGGACAAGATGATGGTGCAGCTGACCTTGGCCTCAGAGAGGAGCTCCCCCCAGAGGAAAAGTCAGAGAAGCAGCTATGTGAGCATGAGGATCGACACACATGCCATTGATAAATACTCCAGGATAATTTTTCCAGCAGCATATATTTTATTCAATTTAATATACTGGTCTATTTTCTCATAAACGCCTGTAACTCTATACATTTCACATTCTTCTGTATGTACCACAGAAATACCTGTACGATGAGAGTAATTTAAGGTTATGATGAAATTAAAGTTCCCACTACCCACTCTTCTCCAGCTTTCCAAAACGACATTGACAAGACACTTACTGGTTTAATCTGCACTTAATAACCATCTATTGTGTCCACAGAATTATACATGGTGCTGCAGGAATTGGACACCTGTAGCAACTGGGGATAGTTGTTACTGGGACTCCCTGGAAAAGCACACTGCCAGCATTGTGGGTACCCTGTAGTCAACCTCTTTTAGACCCTAGGTGCTTATTCACATGAATGATGCCCTTTATGTGCACATCACTATATTCTCTGGGACTAGGTGGAATTGGGAAGCACCTAAAGATCACCTGCATGGAACATGCATGCACCTAAATCCCTGCTTTGGCCAAAATTGATGCTTCACTTCATAGCCTATTACCTATTTTTCAATATTTATTGAAATGCATGTTTATTTTAATGCAAGGCGATAATAGTATTTCTATTTTTGTTTGTGTCTCATGGTTCATGAGGTTTCACCTCTCTGAAGCAAAGCTCTTTAGATTGATACAATGGCTTCTGATTTGGTGGGGAATTTCTCTGGTAGGGAAATTTTAAAGAAGAGGGTCTATGCATGCATTTTGTCAGTTCTGTCATAGAAATAACTAGCCTAGAAAATTTCTGTTAAGTGTTCCTGTTTCATAATCACTGCTTCGTGTATCTCCACCTTGGAGCATGTCCCAGTTCAAAGTGAAGTCCTTTCTCAGTAGTGTGATATCTTCACTGAGGAACTCAGGAATAGACAGATTTTTTTCTACATAAACATTTCAAGAAAATGCATAATTTGAGACAACCTATAACTCATTAGGATGAGAAATGCCCACATAGATTCTGAAGAAAAAAAGAACACCAGAAAGAAAAAGAAATGGGAAGACATCACTGGACATCTCCATTTGACCTCAATGAATACCAGCATTTTCTATGAACCAGTAAACAATGGCCACCTCTTGCCAGAGCATGGGATAAAGGAGAGGGTTCTAATTTGATGTATTATTTAAACAAATAAGTTACTCAGACTAGGTATCTACAGGATCAACACCCACCAAACTTATCCGAACAGCATTTGTTTAAAATTCACTTTAATAAAGTAAATTCTATACACAATAATGTCATTGTATTTCCAAAATTAATTGGACTGAGCATCCATACTACATATTTCTTCATATTAGAGCTATACTTCATTCTAATCTGAAAATGAAACCATATTTGCACAAATTCTACTTACAAGGTAATCTTCCATTTCCCCCAATGAAAACTCATGAAAACAAAGGGTTTTTTTGGCAAACTCAAGATACTTAAAGGGATATAAATGAAATAGCTAAACATTAGCTTTTAGTATTTAAAAAATTTTTGGGGTGGGCGCCTGGATGGCTCAGTCAGTTAAGTGTCTTGACTCTTGATTTCAGCTCAGGTCATGATCTCATGGTGGTGAGATTCAGCCCTGCATCTGGTTCTGTGCTGAGCACGGAACCTTCTTGGGATTCTCTGTCTCTCCTTCTCCCTGCTCCCCCTCTCATGCTCGGTCTCTCTCAAAATAAACAAACATTAAAAAAAATTTAAACATTGTTTTTTTTTCATGCTTATTTTCTGAAACAATTTCAATCAAACTCTTCACAAACATCTTTGTCACTCACTTCTTCCTCATGACCAGGGCCACTCTGAGTCATCTTGCAAGGTTTCCAGGCCACATGATCTGATTTTCCACCTACTTTGCTTGGGAAACTCATATGTGATGCTGTGTTAGCTGCTCAGGCCACCACAACAGGTGGCTTAAACAACAAAAATTTATTTTCTCTTAGTTCTGGAGGCTGGACGTCCAAAATCAAGGTGTTGGCAGGTTGGGTTTTTCCTGAAGTCTCCCTCTTTGGCTTGCAGATGGCGACTTTTTGCTGTGTCCTAGCATGGCCTTTTTCTCTGAGCTCATGCACACTGGTGCCCTGATGTCCCTTCTTTCCTTTTCTTTTTTTTCTTTTCTCTTTTCTTTTTCTTTTCCTTCCTTCCTTCCTCTTTCTTTCTTTCTCTCTTTCTTTCTTTCCTCTTTTAATTTTAGAGAAAGCATGAGATGGGGAGAGGGAAAGAAAGAGAGAGAATCCCAAGCAGACTCCACACTCAGTGAAGAGTCCAACGCAGGGCTCAATCCCATGACCCTAGGATCACGGGCTGAGCCAAAATCAAGAGTCAGATGCTCAACCGACTGAACCACCCAGACACCCCCCTGACATTTCTAAGAGTAGCATTAACACTGGGGAAAAACCACTGGAGCAAGAAAACAGGTTCGGGCAACAAATATAATCTTAATTTTTTTGTTGCTGCAACATAGAATTTAGGTGAATGTAATTCTAAAACATTGTCCCTAAAAATGATGGATTCCAAAGAAGTGGAAATTTTTGTAGGGTGAGTGGTCAATGGAGTTATTTGATAAGGATTAAATAAAGAGACATGGAAATTGCTTTAGGAAATTTACTGGCCACAATAGCAGGATTTCTTTTACACAAAGGCCAAGTTTTAAATCTCATTCAGCCATGTTTTAACAAGGTTCCACTTGTAATTTTCCAGTAGGTTTCTTTCTCTTAGACCTTCTATTGGAAAGCAATCAACTTTAGTATTGCCCAATTTAATGATATGCCTAGAAAAATAGTTCAAGCATGAGGAGAGAAGAAAAAAATGATCTCTGAAAATTTCTCAATCTTCACCCAAAATTGGCACCGTTTTCTCATGTTGTACATCTGCACACAACTATCCTTACTTGAAAATCAATTTTAGAGTTCTGGCTTCTCCCCAAAATACCATGACTACAATTTAATATGAACCTGGCTGCATAGTTACTGGCTTTGCCATTTCAGATTGTTAACAATTTTTGCAAAATTGCCTTCAGCTATGAAATACAGCATAATTATACTCAAAATATGTCCGGTGATTTACCTAAAAACTGAAGATTTAAGGTGAGAAGAAAAGCTAGTAAAAACAAGCTAAAAGGGGCCAGCCAGATGCCTGCGGATGGATATTCCCCTCGCATACTTTCAATTTCTGTAATCTTGTTTGCCTCCTGTGTCCACCAACTGCCCAGATGGCACCAATGATAAGGGCCCCCTCCCCTTTTTCTCTTGTCTCTCAACCTCCTACCATCCCAGCCATAAAAGGAGGCCGATGCCAAGGTTCGGGACTCAGCCTTTGGAGGTGACTCCGCTGGGCCAGCACCAGTGCACAACAGTCTTTTCTAATTCCCCGAGTGTGTGTGGCTTGTCTCTTCCTGGGCGCCGAGTACTTGCTGTAACAACGGTACAGCTTTACAACTATTTTTCCACTTGGTAATACTGTCCCATAATACAATTTAACTACCATGGCATTCAGGTGAAATGTTGGGGTTCAGGAGCGAATGGTCAAGAAAAAATTCTTGGGACATCTTCGATGCAAAAAAAACGTGGTTTTATTACAGCATGGGGACAGGACACTTGGGCAGAAAGAGTTGCACTGGGGTTGTGGAGTGACTGATTATATACTTCAAAGTTGGGAGGGGGTTAGGGATAGGGTAAGTCTCTAAGGAATTTGGAAACAAGGTTTCCAGGACCTTGAGGGGTCATTTACTGTCTAGTAAAACCTTAGTCATGAGACCCTTCAGATGTATATCAGTGGACCATATGTTTAGAGGATGATTACTAACAAATTATATTGGGGGGAGGGGGTAGAGGTAAAGTAAGTTTCCAAAGGGATTTTTGCATGTTGAAGACTTACAGGATCCTGGAGGTCCAGCTAATGTCAAGCTAAGGTTGCCTTTTGCCTCTAGCAAAGTATTAACATCAAGGGAGTTGAGCTTCTAGAGGAAGATCACTCTGGCTGTCTCAAGTACTTGTCAATGGGCTGTAAGTTGTAAGTTTTTGTTTTTTTCTTTTTTGCCTTTGTCCTCCACATCAGCATTCCTCAAGTTGGACTTCTACTCTGGGGTATTCACTGCATCTATTTTTTTTTTTTTTATGTTTATTTTTTAAAGAGCGAGTGAGCTAGGGGAGGGGCAGAGAGGGAGACACAGAATCTGAAGCAGGCTCCAGGCTCTGTGCTGTCAGCACAGAGCCCAACGTGGGGCTCTAACTCACCAACCGCGAGATCATCACCTGAGCCGAAGTCGGAGCCAACTAGCCACCCACGTGTCCCGCTGCATCTATTTTTACTTAGGATAAAAATACCATTTGATTCTTGCAACTCAAATATCTCCAGAGCAGTAGTGGCATCACCTAGGAACATGTTCGGAAAGAAAGGATCTCAGTACCTGCCTTACACCTACTCAATTAGAACCTGTATTCTAACATGATCCCTAAGGTGATTTCGGTTGGGCAACCCAGCAGCCCAGACGGTGATAGAAGTGAAAGAATTTGCCCAGGGAGAACAAAAGAGAAGTTTACTGAATACACTGCAAGGGAGCAGCAGGCAGGACAGCAAAGGAGAGACTGTCTGCCAGGAGGCAGTGGTGAGGGGCACAGTTACATAGAGTAAGGGGACATATGGGATTTTCTTTTTTGGCAATCTTGGAAACTGTGCCTGGCTGTTAGTAGCCCATTAGGGCCAACGGTTATTTTGAGGTGGGTGACTTAATGAGCCTGTTTGTATTCAGCTCTGTGTTCATTGTGGGCCCTTTTACCTTGCTCAGGTTCCCATTGCTCAAGCCTTTGCCTAAAAGTGGCCTCCACAATTCATATGTACATTCAAGTTATCAATGCATTGAACTAGGATCACATAACCACACATCTTTTATTATCATTCACAGGAAGTGACAGAAGAGCTGCATTCAGACATTCAACAACTCAATATTGAGTGCTTACTATGCGTGCTAAGCACTGTGTTAGGAGTTCTGGCTGATTTGTTGATCCTAAACAAGTTGGTCAAGTACCCCTGCCCCTAAAGTCTACAGCCCTCC